TACTTTCATTTACTCTGTACAGCTCACCTGCAGCAATGGATATGCAAAAGCTTAACTCATGCACATAAAGACACACAGTGCAAGCAAAGCACCAAACCAACATATTCTACTTATCAAAAATTTGTGAGGGAAGAAAGAGGGTTTTCTTCAAATTATACAGTTGTGCAGCGCTGAATTAGCTATGTTTAGCTGTGGATTAATAGCAGGGTATTCAATACTGAAGATATACCCAGAAAAAGATGAAATTCAGTACTTCTTCATTTTAACTGAGTGCTGAGGCAGTGAACTTAGGAAAAGTAGCTGAATGCAAGGACAGCCTTTTCTAGTCACCTTTGTAAGAATGAGAGCAGTAAGAGACATTAAAAAACTGATTTGTGAGAAATTTGTACTAATTCTCTTTTTGACTCACAGACGATTTCATTGGAACTCTTTCACTATTACTAAACAAAACTGAGTGTCTTTAACATGGGCAGAGAAACAAAAATATGGACCAACCAAGAAGAAAGTTAAACTGGCACTGAGTGCCTCAGCTCCACTTATTAACTTCATCACCAAAACGCATGGCTAGGGCCTGCACTGACTCACAAAATGTGTGAAAAGAGGTTCCTCAGTTGAACATGTCCACAGAACTTCATTAACTCTCCTTCTGATCCCAGAACAGTAGGATCTAAGCCAATATATTCTGCAACAATTTCCTTTCCAGCTAGTACCTCTGCCTGCACCGACTCTGCCATGTACACTCCAGGATGCTGGTGAACGTGAGTCTGGTGAAAAATTTCTAGATAATAGAGAAATAATGGTAATATCTGTCTACCTTTTCTTTTTTTTTTTTTTTGTAATGCCTGCATTTTATGTGACTACAGAGTTTTCAAACAGCTATATCATAACAGTCTGTCGCAAGTGTATTGGGTGTTTCAGTTTGCCAGACCTGTCATAATAAATTAAATACAGGATGTTGCAGAAGTGGCTGAGTTCCAGCAGCATCTTGCACAGTTTAATATAGACCTATTTCCCCATTTCGATGTATTTGTGGTTAGATAAATCCTCAGAAAATTTACAGCTGCTACACACAAGTTTATTATACTCCCTGCCTTTGCAGGCTATGTAAGTGCAATAAAAATTTGACGTCTGCTGAGAGCATAGATTTTACTGATATTGCTTTACCGGTGTGGAAACATTTTTCCGCTAAAAGTGACATCTGCAGTTTGTGTTGATTATTTGCATTTGAGCATTACACAGGACTTGTAAACTTGCTTTCCACAGTCAAACATAGTGCAAATTCATTTGGTTTGACAAAGTTCTCAAAAAAAAAATATGAGATGTACGTAGTTTTACCTGAAATGCAGAGCTAACATTTTCCCCTCTGGGTGCAAGATAGAAAATATTTTTCCAGCCTTTAAAGTTAGTGTAAACTAATGTATAAATTGTAGCCACGATGCTGCGACTCAAAGCCTAATCCTTGCTGACTTTGCTGGAGCTTTGAGTATAGGGGTCCATCTACCCCGAGCAGCTTGCAGGACTGGGACTCAACATATACATCACACTGCTGAAAAACAGACCCTTCTGAAGAGGAAAGCAGCAAGTGACAAGCATACAACAGACTCAACAAAAGACAAAACTTCTGCCAAAAACACCGTGAGCAGAACGTAACGTCCACACGTAACAAAAGGATCGTACGATATTTAATGTTTAAAACAGCAGCTTGATGCTTGGTGTGAAGTTCCAATCTCTGCTCTAGCTGTTTTGCACCAGATGAAAAAGCTGGAGAGGCCTGAATCAAGGCAGAGGTGCCTATTGCAACAGACAACAACTAAAAAGGTGCCCTCTGAAGACCTATGCCAGAAGTTAGGGAATGAAAGCTTCATCTATCCCAACAGTTCTTCAAGCCATAGACTATATGGACCTTTTGGGCTGTAGCTCAGAGTTAGAACACTACTGAGGTAAGAGTTACCGGAGAGACACAGAATATTCCTCATGGGTTCTGAGAGTTCATCCAAAAAGCTTCTGTAAATGGTACAAAACAAGTGTTTAAAAAAGTGAAGTGGTTAAATATCCTAATTTCTAAAGTCTAAAAAACAGGACTGAAGCAACCCAAGCTCTGCTATAGTGCACCTATACATTATCTTCTGTTCCTTCTTCTTGAGTTCCATTTTCTAATTGCTACATTTTTGCAAGTCTTCCTCAGGCAGCACCTTTCTTCTCAAGTTGCTTATTTCCCTCTCTCAGAACTCCTCCTGTTTCTACTCCCTATGCATAGCAGTTTTGTTCCTAATGCACGTATTCTAAACTCCAAGCAATAAAACTCCTGGAACTAACACAGCATAGTTTTACAAGTGCAGGTGTACATCCACAAAATAATTTGTCAAAAATATTCTCTTTGGCCATTGGACAAAATACTAAGGGAAAAAACCCAGAGTACCAGCCTCTGGACATGAATCTTCCTGGCCTCCCTCCACTATTCATAAAATACTTCTATCCCCTCCCAATCTCCACATCCATAAAATAGGTTGCACTGCATACATACTAATTTCATACGTGCTAGAAAAAGATCATTAAAAAACCCCACCACTCTTTGTGTTTACCAAACAAGTGTTTTTGCTTTAGTCTGTTCCCGCCTTAAACAAAGTATTTCCTATTCACCTGAGTAATTAGAGCAGAAGGATGTAGTGAATGAAGTGCCTCATTATCAAGTTTGTATCCACAGTCTCTGCAGAATGGCTACCATGCCGGCTATTTTTCATAGCTGTCTGCTTTTGCTTGTAATGGGCCATTGTTAACCCTAAATGATCCTGACATTCAATTCTCCATCAGACAATCGCGTCCAGCCGGCAGATTTAGTTCACTAGTCAACAGAGACTTTCGGTTGTCATGTTTCTCTGTGTTCTCATTAGCCCTTGTTTGACTGTGATCCATCCCCTACTGCCTTCTGAATTAAGTGATGCTACAAATACACTTATTGTGTTTTATGATGTCTGTTCCTCAAATTATTTTAAGGAAAAAACTAAATGCAATTTGATGGCTATTGGGAAACACAGGAAAAATGTGTCCTCCATTTGCTTCTGTTTTGCTGATTTATGCGTTGTTCTCGATGTCTCTGCCATATCATAAAAATGTAACAGCAACTGTATGTTGTAACCACACACACAAAACCTAGAAACACCACAACAATGAAAGACCTACTATGCTGCTATCACCAGACAGCTAAAAATATCTAATATTTAGCCTTTTTTAAAGAACATATTATCTGTTTTGCTCCAGTAATGAACTTGGGTAACCCTCTAAGAATGCATCACAGAGACTTTTAGAACTCTTGTATTTTAGTTCACACATCATGGCTGAGGGAACAATTTTACAGGGCACTCATACAGTTCTTCATCTAAAAAAAAAAGGAAAATTTTCAGTAGGCAATCTAAATCCCTCTGGAATTCTTTTCTTCACTGAAATTTAAGTCCTTTAAATACTTGGACAATATTCAGCATATGTACATGATATTAACTGTAAAGTGATTTTAAGAAATATGTAGACTGCATTAACACAGAAACAAGAAGCATTATATAAAGTTTTTAAATTAAAAATCTATTTTTAAACCACTACCCTAATCCAAAATTTTTAAAAGTTGTATCCTCTTTTGTAAGTTTAAAATCCCAATAGCAATGTCTGAAGAATAAAGAATCTACTAACATCAAAAAGCAGTTTTTCTTAAAGTGAATGTATCAGCCATATTTCTGAATGAAAGTTAAAAACTGCCTTTGCCATTGTGCCATGCTAATAATTTGTTAGATTTTAGGTTGAAGGTTCTAATTTTAATATTGAAGAATCATAGACTTTTTCAAAATTTCAGATATTTTTGTTCCTTTTCTGTTAAATGAATGCAGAAGAGTAACACCAGAGTGACATGGTAAAAAGGAATAGAAGTCCCTAACCAACCATGTGGTAGGGAGGAAAAAAAATTATAAAAGCAAAACAAAAGCTATTGCAATTACAAGTAAACATCATGAAAAGTTTATTTTCAACTCTTGCATTTTCATGTTTGGCTCTTATCTGATTCCTTCTGCTTAATTGTTATTTGGAACTGTGCCTTGGAAGGCACTACTGCTGCTTCTCCTCTCAATTTGGAAAGTGTGGCAAAGCAGCTCTATTCAGCTTCAGAGCAGTGAACATAATTGGAGCCCTAGTTCGCAAGCATGAAAGGAGGTGCTGTGCCTTTGATTAGAACTACCATTTCTCTGTGGTGTTTATCTGAAGTGTTATTTCTGTCTTCAGTGTTGACAATGCCAAATTAACATTTTACAATGCTTTCCAGTGAGCTCCCAGATCTTGGCTGCTGCTCAGCTCTCCCTGACGTGGAGCCTGATGTCACTCTGCCCTTATTTTAAATGTGACCCAGGACATTTCAAGAAATGTAAAATGTTGAGATTTTTCTCCTTTATAAAATCTTTAAATTCCACACATCGCGCAGGATGGTGAGTTGAAATACATTGCAAAGGCTGAGAGATAAGAGGCAAAGAGCCCTGCTAGAATCAGGCAGTCCCAGGATTAACATAATTTTACACTATCTCTGACTGAGGAAAGACACATTACTAAGTTTCCAGTACCATATAAGCAAGCTCTATTTAGGAGTGGACTCCATACACATACTGAAAGCAAAGTAAAGCTAGGACTGCTAGCAAATATCAACTACTAGTGGGGTGAAAAAAGAGTATTTTCTGCTGTGCTTTACTTGAAAGAAAAAAGTTTATAGATTTTTCTGACTTTCAAATGTGCAAAAAAGTTATTACAATATAGAGCAACTAGTCCTCTGCATCTGGGTGCATTTCACACATCAGTGCCCAACACTGTTATTCTCACTTCTTTTTTTAATGGAATCAAGTGCCCTGTCTACTAAATAAGGACTTTCTAATTTTATGTTATTTATTGCTTCAGAGAGGGAGGAGGAAGAATTTCCTAGCAGAGTAAAAATAAACTGGACATCATCAGCCAGAAAAAATACCAACACTAACTGCTAGAAAGTATTTCATTTAATATAAAACATAAATTATTTAATACCAAAGATAATTAGTGAAGTCATCAGTAAAAGTTCACAAAATAATACTCAAGTAAAAAAACAGATTAATGACACAAGTGAATAAGGACTACAAGTAAAACAAACAGCATAGTTGGATATGAAATATTTCATTCAGACAAAAACAAAGTATCTTTGGCAAGACTGCTGCCAAAGCAGCCAGGAACTCTGACAAAACTCCAATGAATCTTCACTATGTGTAGAAAACCTCATCTGAAAAATATAACTGTCTGGAATTTGCAACACTTATTTACTTTGATAAGAATGAGTAGTCCTACTGAAGACAGTGTAGTTACATAGGTTAATTCCCTTCAGAGCTGCAAAATGCAGTCCAAGTGAGTATTTGATGTCAGAAAAATATTTTTAAAAAGCTTATGTTTTCAGGTACACGTTAATGTCAGCACTTCTTTGGAATTTTACCGTTCTGAACACTCTTCTATTTTACTTACAACATTTTAGAATGCTAACTTAATAATATATGTAGTGGTTGAGCTTGTTTTGCTCTAGATCACACTTTTTCACTTGATTCTCTGCTCACTGATCTACAGCCTACAGAAATGCCTAAGTGAAAGTTTAATCAGATATTAAATTAGGAAATGTTGTATTTGACAGTTTCAGGTTTTTTCCAGTCCAGTGAGGAGCTGAACCTCACTGTTGATTTCAAGGACAAAAGTCACCCAAAGCAGGTTAACACCATCAGTAAGTCACAACAGGTGGCATTTTGCATATTTAAGTATTTTAATTTCTTTGTTTGTTGTTAATCCTAGAGGAGAGACCGAAATTGGAGCCTTCAATGTGAGTAATGAATATCGCACCAGCATTCAGAAATAAATTATGACTATACGTCCTGGCATTCAGGCTCAAAGGCAGTATTTGTCTTTCCATTTGTGCTTAAGTTTGAGCCTCTCACTGCCTTTTTCTTCTTCTTCTTCAATTCCACCCCATGGGATGTAGGTTCATTTTCAACACCATTAGCTGTAACTGATGATAGAGGAGTATCGAGACTCATTAAGTTGTGCTGATTTTCTCTCTCATTCCTCTGTATCCTTTTCTTCTTTTTCTTTGTACCTCTAGAGGAAGGTGGATATAAAAAGAGCAAAAGAAACACAAAGTTAGCCCAAATTTAGAGCTTTTTCCACCCACAGCTGATGTGTTAGAGCAATTGTCTGCCTGTCCCCTTGAGTACAATGCTGAAACAACTACAAAAACTACTGTTCCACAGCAGAACAAAGAAAGAAAAACCATGAAGACAAAATACGAGAGCACTCCACCAGTCTACTTTATCACAGCATTGCCTTGAAAAGAACTCTTCGTGACCTTAAAAATCAGCTTGCCTTGATCAATAGTAAACAGATGTAATTAAAAAATACAAATTACTAGTCTCCTCCTCTCATAAAAGCAATTGGACTTTTATTTTTTTTTACATTCCTAAGCTCAGACATCAAAATACTTGTAATTAAAGAGAGATTCCTGGCTTATTTATTCAACAAGAATAAGATTAGTTTTTTGCATTTTAATTTACCTGAATGGGGACAGATTTACAGAATCAAAACCAACTTTAATGTCTATGCTTATCAGACTTCATACAATGCCAAAAGCATCAACCAAGCTCCTGTATCTTTCCCAGTTAATGCCTTTAACTAGTCTTGTGCATGATGTCAGGGATTTTGCAATGTCACACCACTTCTACCATGAATTTCCACTCTTGGCAGAAGTTGTAACTTTATTCAGCTGTAAATTCATAACAATACTTTAACTATAACCTTTCAAGGGCAGGTACTGTCTTTGTTCAAAATCTGTATTGTGTCTAGCAAAAGAGGTCTTGGTATGACCTGAACTGTTATGTTGAATGCTTCTGAAACGCATAAGCAAATCGATGAATCAAGACTGAGGAACGTAATGTGTGCTGTTTCCCCAAAAAGGGTGCTGCAAGTGCTCTACTGTTGGTGTTACTGTCCTAATGTAATCAGATTTTATACATGAAAATGTTTACACATCAGCCTTGCTAATGAACTGATGACTATCTGCCTATAGTTTGAATTTTTTTAAAAACTAAATTGTATATTTATGAATAAGTGGATTGCTGCAGCTCTAGTACTGGAACATCTTAAAGAAAAGGTTCTGGAGTTTAAAACCTTCTGTGTTATGATTTCTAGAATAACTGGAGAAGTACTGCAGCATAAGGAAACTGCGGAATAAAAATCATAATTTTTCAGTAATGTAAGTACCAGTGTACCAAACTGAGTGTTCAGCTGGGTCGTGTGCAAATTCATGCAGAGAGCACTACAAAACTGTGCAGCTCAACAGAACTGTATAATAGGAATATATCTAAGGAGATAATGTCTGTATTGACAAGTAGTATCTAATCATTAATATTCAAAGGTTACTATGAGGTTACTATGCTGGTTTCCAATGTAAAGCCACTCTAATTCTGAGAAGCAATTTTCATCTTTTTATTATTTGAACATCAGATGCGATGACGTATCAAAACAAGACACTTAGATTGAAACCACTGAGCATCTATTATATGGACAATTCTCTGTATCTTCCAGAGTCTGCAGAAGATAGGTTAACTGCTTGGCTAAGATAAAAGTCTACTACCATCTTGCATAAAATTTAGCTTTCCCACTGCAAAACTTTAATTTCCATCCAGAAATTCTCAAAGACAGATATGTCTTAAGCACTTTCCATTCATTTTCTTTTACAGCAGGTATCATGGCCAAAATGAATACTGCTCTAATAAGGCAAAACAGCAATCATTCATTTGGCATACTGAGTTGTGCAGGTGTTTACAGTTTCACTTCTCCATATTGAAAGCATGTACTTGGCAATCACATCTCACTTGATTCTTATGAAATTTATTTACTACATAATTCCTATCATATACATAGATGTGACATGGATATTAAGGTATTTTCACAGAAAACAGAAGAATAACAGTACGTTTTAGGTGAAGCAGCTATTTAAATACAGGTTGAACTGGACCTCAAGTCATGTTGATACTGCTGTTAGATGCTAAAATAGAAAACTTTTCCAGTTAAGATGGCAATACTAGCATGCATGTGATTTTTAAGGATATTTCAGACACATCAACTGCAGTAAGCAAGAAAACTACAGCTCTGTCACAGCCCCTGCAGGTCATGTTTTTGATAACAATGAAGAGAGACTTTTCATGAAAAATAGGCAGCCATGTTTCTGAGATGTTTTATTATCTAATCTGTCCTGTATAAACAGAAATATGTGAGATCTGTCAAACTAATAGCACCAGCAATGTCAGAGGATCCTTCTCTCTTTTAGCTCTCAAAATAAGGCAGAAGCTTGTAGTCTTTTCTGAAAGAAACTTGGTACACACAGTCACTGCTATGAAGTACTATGACATGGAGCATGCATGAATTCAGACTGGAATCTTTGTGATGCTCCCTATAGTTCAGGAGGAGGGAGCACATTTCAGTGACTCAGGCATGTAGGTTTCTTCTCTCACCTTTCCTAAATGTAACTGAAGTGGTTTTGGGGCTCTATTTCTTCAGTGTGACCTCTTTGTCAGGACAGTCTTAGTTTCCACTACAATGAACATTTCACATTTGTTATGACTCAAAATTCTTGAATTTGCTTAAATTATTTGTGATTCCACATTTTAATTTAGTAACTACGGTGGTAGTGGATCAAGGGTTGGACTTGATGATCTCGGAGGTCCCTTCCAACCCAGCTGATTCTATGATTCTATGATTAATCTGCAATGGCACATTTTTCAGTGGATGCCCTGGAAAGATCACTCAAAATAGTTGTTTCCTGAAGTTCTACTATGGAGTTGAATCATACCAAATTTTTGATACTGACTTCTAACAGACTGTATTAACCATCACAGTAATTACGCTTTTAAGGCATTTCCTTCCTTAATGTACATACTATCAGAATAGTTATGCCCAAAATTCAACACTGAATTCTGTCAATGTGTAGTTATACAGCCCATTCCTCATCATACATGAGGGTTAAACTTTCCACTCACACCTTATTTTCAAACCTAGATACAGACAGAGATATAAAATTAAAATTTAAAAGCAGGTTAAAATCAGATATGTATCTGCATCTACAGCATATATGCACAGATTATTTATATGGGGAGGGGACCAGTGTGGAAAACAATCAGTGAAATAACTTTTCTTAGGTGACAGATATAATGGGAAACACAGGAAGTATTTTCAAATACACTTTTGAAGTACAAATGGTTATAATAGCTAAAGATATTGTGGAAGCTCTTATTTAAAACACTGAGATCTTATCTGCTTACAGCTTTCACGCAATGAACAGATATGATTTTTAAAAAATACAAGTGTCACCATCAAAGACGCTGGTTTGTGCCTTCTTAGAATGTGACAATCTCTCGCAATTCACATTAATTAATTTTTAGAAGGTGCAAAAATAGTTTAAAGTTTGTAGCAATAAATCCTAATACATAGCTAAGGCATGCCAGCGGACAGCCCCATATCCTGAGTCATATCCCCGAGTTTTGATTGTCATATACATTATAGCCCTTGCTTTTTTGGGGATAGAGTGTGTATGCACATCTGTGTGTGCAGATATACATGAACTGTAACTTATTTCACATTTCGAGTGTGAAGCACGCTCTCACTGATAATCTTAAAGCTAATTCTTGTTTTGCTTGATAAAACAAAATAAGCCTTCGAACATTTTCATAGTTTTCAAACAGCAGTTGTAGAAAAAACACTGCAAATTGTTTTAAGTTATTTCTTGCTTACTGTGTTGCAGGTGAGTCTCTATCTGTGTCACGCTTGGAGACAAATTTTAGGTCCCCTGACTTGCTGATGACTGGTGACATCTGTGAAAGAAAAAAAAAAAAAGGCAGGAAGGTAAAAAGAAGACAGACAAGAGGGCCAACACATGTGCATAGAAAACCCACCAGCTTCCTGAATAAGGAGAGAATATACCTCGTTTGATAAAGAATGTCTATCAGCCATAAAATGTTAACTCCTATGTGGTTACAAACAAGGAAACAGCACCCTGCTATAAAAAAAAAAGCTACTTGCAAATAAAAGACAGTTTTCAGGTATATGTAGAAACAGATGGTTATGAATCTGCTTGAAATCAGCTTAAAATACACATGGTCTGTAAAGAATAAAGTTATTTCTGCTCCTACAAGATTAAAAGCACAATGCTAAAAAGACACCTTATTGCATAGTTTTAACAAGATAAACCTGTGGGTTTTTTAAGCCTGCAAGTTTAACTCAAAAGTAGTTGAAATCACTCCAGGTTACTTTATAATTCAGGGCTAGGAAGACCCCCCAAACCTGGAAAAGTTTAAGTAAATTCTCTCATTTCCACCCTAATTAGTGGGTCTCTATACAACTTGCTCCCTCTACAAACAAACCTCTTCTAATTCTAACAGGTCTCACAATTACTGCAAGAATTCCCATAAGGAAATGCTAGTGCCCTTCCTGAATCTTCAGGAACAGATTATTTTATTGGTTTAATATTTTTCTACTGATTGGGAATAAACAGGATCAAGCTCTCATTGACTTACTGAATTCATATGAGCACACTGCCCACAACAACCATGTTCAAACATTAGTCATTGGAATTAGTCTGCTGAAAAAACACAGATTGCTGGAATAGTTTAGACAAAAGTCAGCCTATTAGAATACAATAACTAGCTGAGCTAGGAAGAAAAATCATGTACTTCACACACAAAATCCTTGTTAATACAGCAATAAACTTGAGACTAAGTCAATGGTAAAAGTAAACACAAAAGAAGGAAATATAATGCCACTGATATGAAAATACAAAGGAGTGTTGTAAAGGGAATGACTCCAAGTAATTAATACTTCCTTCAGCACTTACAGCCTTGTGGTTCCCTGCCATACACAATTGTGAATTCACTTCGCTTGCAGTCAAAACAAAATCTTTTTCTGAAAATCCTGTGTGAATGATGTTGGACCATTTTTTAACCCTCTTTTTTGAGTAAATATTACAGAATCTCCTCACTGTACTAATACTATAATCAAATATAAACCATTCCAAAGAACAGTGAGGTAGAATTCCCTGAAGTGCTACTATAGAAGACTGACCTCCTATAAAACTAGACTAAGATTTTTAACACTTTCAGACACATAAACACAGAAAATTATACCTGTTTTACAGTTAGAAGATTAAAATATCCACTAAATTAATGTGCCTAAGTGAAAATTCTTATGATCAAAAAACCTCATCACATAGGCTTTACATATTAAAGCACAGCTCTTTAGTATAAGTACCAAGGAAAGAAAAGCACACAATTGGAGACATTCCACTAGCTGTGTTCTCCACACATGGCAACTAATGAGAATTCCTAGGGTCTGTAGAGAATGACTCCCAATTCTCCACAGCAGTGTTTGAGTATGATAGGTTTCTTACCTCATTCCTACAAACTTTAAAGCATGTAATGAAGAGGGAACTAGGTACTAGATCTTTTTGAAGTAGATCTCACTGCTGCTACCTTCTTTTGTCTACACTACATACCTCTGTGTCCCTCTTAACCTATTCCTTGAACTACTTTTCCCATCCTAGGGATGTAAGAAATAACTACTGAAGGAACAAGAGGGATCAGCAGCAGATCCAAGGAGCTGGTGCAGGAGCTGGTGAAACAAGGGGATGAAGCAGCAAGAGGAGCACAGCAGAGTAAATGGAGGCTGGAAAAATAGGCAGGAGGTATTTGGCTCAGGAGGTGGTGGTAACATTTACATGCTGAGAATTCACTGAGGACATATCAATGTAAGGAGCAAGCCAGAGAAGGCTAGAGTTTGGAGGAGCTGAAGAGGCTGTTGATCTCATCTTTGTCCATTTTGAAACCTCTCGACCACTTGTTATACACAGGCAGATCTCCAAGGAAGCTCCAAACGGCTCTGCACTGTTGTCACTATGTCTGTACTAAGATTCAGTAAACCTAGCATTGGACCAGATATGGTGTTAGTTATTACATTCATCCAGACTGCAGATCTTAAATATTAATACAGAATTATTAGGGCAGTGTTTGTTTTAAAGAAAACACCCTAATATTTGATACTTATGCATATTTTTCTGTTTGCAAGAAAAAATACTAAACATAGTACAAAAAATTAGCTCCTTTGTAGAGTGCCACTAATGGTGTTCTATTTTGTTGCCATATTCTAATTCTCTATCCTTTGAGAGAAACAATCCACCAGAAGGAGAAGAGAACATCAGTTCATATCAACTGCAGAAGCTTGGATTTTCTGAAGTTTCCTTTGCTTTGCTTATGATCATAAAAATTGTAACACAATACATATTTTCCTTTTCTAAAAGGCTTGCTTGCTTTACAGCACATTTTTTTTTCATACTTACTATTCTCTGTGATGCCACACAAGAAGCAACCAAGGCAATACAAGTAAAGGCAAAATACACAAAAGTATATCAAGTTCCTAATCCCTGCTGTAGAATTCACACCAGTAAGTCAAGCAGTAAACCCTCCCTGTGCAACTCATGGAAACAATCGGATATATCAGAACATACTTCCTAGCAGAAGTTGCAGCAGAGGACATCTAAAGGAAATACTAGTGCCAAAGTCTCATCCCAAGTCTACATCTTTGGCAGTACTTTCCTCTAGGCTGTGCAGAGGTGTTACTAAGACTGATGGTCTGCAGAGGTTCTCTGACAGACTAAGAGGTAGATGGACAGAATGGAGTGCTGCAGAAGATCTATTCAGGTGATCCAAGCCATGACAGCAAATGAGCTTGCTCTGTAGCCTACTCTGCAGAGAGGAACTCTCCCATAAAAGTTGTTTCTACATAACTTGATCTAATAAAAGATTCACTGGATTAGAGATGGCAAGAATGAACATGTCTCTCTGCCTTTTCAGACTAGTCTTTCAGACTCGGTATTCAGTTTTTATTTTGTTTTCTATTACACAGTCCATGGATAAAAGACTCATAGTCATGTGTTTAACTCCTCAGAACTCTGCTGATGCCTCCTGACAAAACTGTTATAACAAGTCAAGTTTGAGAGAGATGTGGTGACACCACACTCATCATTTTCTTTCTTGCTATTCTGCACCCGTCCACACACTTCCTGATTAAATGAACAACTGGCAGGGATCTTTGCTAGCAGAATTACATATATGTCTTTTGCCAAGACTTTCCTATTTAAAATGCAATTAACTTATAATTGCTTTTTTCCCCTTTCTAGCATTTTTAAGAACAATTCTATCTAAATCAGATTGACCGGGTTCTAACCCTTATGCCTAACAGTATTAACTTAGTTGTGATCATCTAGTGGAACAATGGTTCTGTATACCACAGACATTGGCATGGATTTCTATCTTCTGCACAAAAGGAAAAATCTGGTGGGTGAAAACTGTAAGCATGGCTTGACGAATACTGTATGTCAGAAATCAAATCCACAAGATGAGTATTTGAGGGACAACAAAAGGAGGAGGAGGAGGAAGAGTGGAGACAAGATACTTCAGACTGAAGTAGTATGGTTTAGAGCAGTTGTTTTCAGTCTTGAAGTCTCGGCCTTTGGGAATTTATCTGTGGTCACAGCTTTGCCTAAGATTTGCATAAAAATAGTTTAATTCTCTTCAGAAAGAGGCTATGAGGACCCAAGGAGAAAATGTGGGGAAGAGAGAAGCTAGCTTGCTAGTGAGAGCTATCTTAGTAATATGTGTCCCTCAACAGTATTTTTGGTTCTGTTTGACCAGTTCAGTGGTTCAGCCTGATTCTTCCTACCTTTAAACAGACTGGGCACTTACAGTAAATGACTATTTAATCTCTTCTTTTTTTCCCCTAACAGATAATTATTTGCTTATAAACCAGATACCTTCTCTTTCTTAAATACTATAGACAGAGGCATAAACATTTTTTGAGACACAACGCATAGCTACCAGCTTACAAAGTAGTAACACACATGCTTAAGAAAGGGTAATTCATCTTGCAGGTGCAGTCACACACTGGAGGGAAGGGATGCCATCCAGAAGGACCTTAAGAGGTGGGCTGATGCAAACGTCATGAAGTTCAACAAAGAGAAGTCTAGGTCCTATAAACAGGTCATGGCAAATCCTTGACACATGTTGGGTGGAGAAGTGGATTGAGAGCAGCCCTGCAGAGAAAGACTTGGGGGTGATGGTTGATGAAAAACTCAACATGAGCTGGCAGTGTGTACTCACAGCCCAGAAAGCCAACTGTCTCCTGGGCATCAAAAGGAACATGGCCAGCAGGTTCAAAGAGGTGATTCTCCCCCTCTACTCTGCTCTATTCCAACACCTTAGCATTCTATGATTCTATAACTCTAACTTGAACAGTAAAAACTGCATTTTAAAGGGAAAACAGAACACCAAGAAATAGGAAACTACAGAACTCAAAGGTGAAATATGTTAATGTTGGGTAACCTTTCAGAAAAATGGTCCATTCCTCATAAGATGGTGCCACAGTAACATTTCCTTCAAAAGGAGGATTTCTTAAAGAATAATCAAAGTCATTACTACTTTGAAAGTAGGATTTGTAAAGATATATCTATTTCATAATGCCATTCAACAATTTATGTGGAAGACTACACAGCAGCTTTGCAGACCAATTCTAGAAAAGCATAGTTTCTTTCAGCCTAGACATCAATACTTTCAGAAAGAGAGATCTGTAATCATATTAGCAATGAATGAAGCCCAGACTTACAAACTTCACTATAATACATTCTAATTCAATTGAATATTGCTTTTTTAATAGCTGCAACCTCTCTGAACCTTGAAAATGAACACACTTCGCGATGTGTCGAAAGTCTTCAGCTCTATTCACTGCAAGAGTTTCATTGTATTAATTTCTCAGTGTTTCCCTCATTATCATAATCACATCTTCCTATTCCCTCCTCCTCTTCCTAAAAGGTAATCAGTCACTGAAGTGTTTCCCAGTAAACTGAAGAAAGGCACCATTATAGAAAATAGAAACTGCACAAACTCTAAAATAAAAGTTTTTGATTATGCTAATAGAAAAATTTCTAGCTACTATTTTTGGAAAGGAAAAACAAGTTTTCTATGCTTTTTAAAGTTTTAGATTTAATAAAAAAATTTTGAGCCCACAAAAACATACATACAGAAGGAGCTCAAGCCCAGGGGAAAAGCGTCAGTTGCTTGGCAAGTTAGTTTCAGACATAGTGGGCTAAATATTCACAAAGTCTGACAACAACCTTCTCTAGGGGAAGAAGAGTGAGAGTATGAATTATTTATGTGAACAGTGATAATCCCAAACTTTATTTAAATAGACATGGAATCAAGTTGTGATGATCTTTGGGCAGATTATCCAAATTGTGCAATAGTAATGTGGGTTTTGACAGCAACCCTTTTGATGCTTATGACCATTATTTTACATCTTGGTATAATTTTTCAAAGATAAATATACTAGAAAGACTATTTTCTTACACTTTTAATGAAAATTTTAAATTAAATTAAATTTTGTTTTTGTCTATTACTACTTCCTACTATTTTCATGTAATGTGGAATTGCATACTTAATAGTTAGAATGCATTTTATGTAGTGAGTGGTAGGCCACCTTAAAATTATGAAACATATTCCCAAGATTTTATAGACAACGGAAAATTTCTAGTTAAAAACCCCCCATACTATCAACTTTGAAATGCTTCTAATTTGCCAAAATTTTGCAAAACCCACATTCTTGTTTCTTCCCTATCTGAATTCCTGTCCTTTCCACTTTCATCTTAAGGAACCTGGAAACAGCACATTTACTGGAGCAGTCAGATGATAAGTCTGTCTTTATTTCTTGGAATTCTTCATCAGTGCAGCGACACCTTCACTCCATGAAATTTCTATTGGCAGTTTAGAGGTATGTTGTAATTAAAGATGATTATGACCTAATTTTGTGGCACAGGAGTTAAGTAACCCATAAGGCAGGAAAACAAGGTTTGCATAAAATTATTATGTTACGAATGCAAAGCTGATGGTAGAAAGAATTTTGAAAGCAAGTCCTTTGAACTACAGCCTTTTTTTTAATTATTTGCAAAGACTAATATTGGATCTTGAGTATTACACCCTCTTCTAATGTTAATAATTCCACTTTATTCACTCATAAAGCTCTGATGATTAGCTAGATATGCATTTGTTATATCTGCAGTTGGAAAACTATTTTTAATTAGACTATCTGGTATTCTCAGTAATTAAAACCATAGTCATATTCAACATTTTAAGTGCCTTATTTAGTCTTGTGTGGTAGCAAAATCTCACAGGTAATTTCTATAATGATTTTCACAGTAACTGTTTCGCAGGCTTAACAGAGCTAAATATTTGAGCAATCCTCCAAAAAACCCCAGAAAGAATAATATAGCAAACCTAGGTATAACTAAATATTAGGGAAAACATGCTCGTGGACAAAAACAAAATACAACCAAAGAATGAATTATATTTTCCTGCTTGTGGTAACAACTTAAACAAAAACTTAATTATTAATTAAAATATATTTGGATTAAAAAAGAAACAAAAAACCCCAACCAAACAAAACACGTAGGTATTACAAAGTAATGATTTTTCTTATTTCCCATGTAAAAGAAATTGGTATTTCCTTTTATCTGGTCTTATATTGAAAAAAAAAATGTAAGGAATAGGAAGAAAAGTTGCTGTGTCACTACTGCAAGACAGGAACTGCCATAACTGATCAGCCCCCTCAGTGGTCACCTTAGCAGCTTTGTCTCAGAAGTATCCAGTACTGCCTAAAGCCAAAGCACTGCAGAACTTTCATTCATGCTGACAAACATTTATGACAATTTGTTTCTTCTAAGCAGAACTCTGTTGCTTTTGTAAACCCACTACACTTCAAGGCATCACAAGTCTTACAGAGGTTAGATTCATAATTTGATTCAACTGTCTTATCTTTTTGATGATTTATTTGGTGTTGATGTGACTTGAAATTTAAAAATCAGTCAGATTTGCATTTCCTATTTATTCAGATGCTTTTTGGAATTTCAGCCATTACCTCAGCCTAAAATGCGTTATTAAAGCAATTAATCTCTAAGCACATACATTTAATAGTGTCTAGTAGTAGGTTTATCAAGGCATAAACAAAAATTTCCTTCTACCAATTAGATGTGCTCCATTGCAGATTAATGTTCCCTGATCTTGTTTAACAGCAGAAGGAAAAGAAAAATAAAAGAAAGAAGAGTGCATCCAATTCACATCAGGTACTACTTTATATGCTCTCTCCACTTGTAAGTATATCCTCTTATATAATTTTTTCCAGGACTTGTAAATATTTCATAACTTTCCCCTGGGCTCTTCATGATTTTGTAGTGCCCTCAGCTGCTGTGCAAGATAAAAAGCAACGTATTTGCTTTGTTTTGGACAGTCATTGTACATTTGCTTCATTGTATCTTTTGAATTTCTATATGTACTATACAGACTACTACAAAATTCCAACTAATTATTAAATATGGAGTCAATTTAACTCAAAGTACAAGTAGAATCCAAGTAAAGAGTATTTCAATTAAAAATTACTAAAACCGAGTGTTCGTAAAAAAGTACTCTAGTAATACAAAACCTAGTGTTAGAAAAATGTCAACCACAGACACTTGAAAAATTATAAGCAATCAGAACTAATTCTCACAAAGCTAACTTCTCACAAAGCTGAATAACAAGTACTAGTTGCAAATGTTAGTAACATTAGTGCACATAAAAGTATTTTTATGCAGTAAATTGACTAGAATTCTACTAGATAAAAACAGAAAAAAGATGTGGATAACAATGATCAAGTCTAATAACAACAGGTGTCTTAGCACTTTTCTCTTTTCTAATCTGAGTACAAGTGAAACTGGATGATTATAGCAACATATTCCCTCTGGGATACCTTCCTTGCCTCTAGCAACATAGACAACAAATGAAAGAAATCTTCAGTAACACAATTTTTCCCATATTTGTTAGAGTCTGCCTTTACTGCCAGTACCTGGAAGTAATGCACCCTTGTCTCTCCTGGACAATGGTTTGGCTATGAGTTTCTCAGCTATAAAGAGGTAAAAGATACTTCAGATTAATTATTACTACTCGGTGCAGTGATTAATTCCATTTTTCAAGTATAGTTAGAGACAAAACACTTAGTAATTCAATTTATAGCAGTTGCCTTCAAGAAAACTGCCAAGTGAGTAATCTGTACTCAATAATTTATTAAATGCTACCTCTCTCTATTCACCTACTAAAAAGAGAAGCTACACAAAAAAGGTTAGTAGAAACAGCATTGAGTATTTTAACCTTGAACACTGCAATGTCTTTTCCAACCTAAACAGTCCTATAATTAGACAGATCATCTGAAAAAAAATCCCCAAAATTGTAACAAAGTAACACAGAGTAGTTTTGAGTCTTGCAAATCAGATATAAAATATTAGATTCAATTTTAGAAAAGTACGTGGAAAAGTCAAATAATCTGAAAGAATCTGAACAAAACTCACTTTTAAGTAGTTATGTCAGTAACACGAATAAATGAATAGTTGTGAAAAGTACACTTATTAAGGATACAAATATTTTGAAATAAAAATTCCTTAAATTCTAACAGTTATTGACCTAATTTTTATCTTTTTATTTTTTTGCTTACAAATTATCCCATGTTTTAAAACAAACATCAGTCTTATTTCACAGAAGGGATACAAGCTATGCAGTTTCTAATCTCCTTCTAGTGAAGTGAGAATCAAGTGGCCTGCTTTGCACATAGTAGAATCTCTAAAGCTCAGAAAAGAAAACCCTAATAAAAATCAAATGCTCAATTTTTCTTGGACTAAAAACCGGGTCCTGTTTCTTTGTCCTTCTGCACATACTGTATTTTAACTAAAATCACAGAAACAGGAATGCTTATGCACACAGTATAGTATGTGGCATGTAAGCAACAACATACTGCCATATGCAATTGCAACCCAGTATAAGTATATGGTGGAAGTGGAGAGATAGTAGACAGTGTCAAGGCAAAAGCCTTTATTACCTTTGCTCCTCCAAACTATGAAGTTCACCCTCCTAAGCAACATACAGGATAGGTGCAGCCACTCATACTGGAGACCCATCAGCAGCTTTTAAACAGAAAAAGCCACCGACAAGTAAGCACATTTCGATGAAGCATATCTCCTCATATGGTATAAAGGCTTCATGATCACATTGTGTATCTTTAATTAGGATATTACAAGAACTGGAAAACTCTCAAGAGAAAAACATCCCAGCTCTTTCCTAAGTAACTCCATAGATAAGGAAATTTCATGGTTGAAAATCTGAAGAATATGTGGGCAAAGCATATTCCAAGAATGACAGTCAAGCACCTGAAATTATGTCAGGTTTTGACAAATCCATATTGTTTCCTCAACCATGATTTACATCAGGTAGCTGTAAGAGATACTTCTGTAAACCTTGGAGTCAATGGGAGATTTGCCCCTCATTACAATGGTGTAAGTAAGCAGGATATTTAATTGCCAAATGACAGAACACCTGATTCCACACAAGACAAACATTAGACTGCTGCTGAAAATCTACCTGCTTGCCAGGAACGAGGTCTACACATAAGAAATTCTTACAAAAAAGATCAAAAATTAATACAGTCCATGTGTACACAAGAGATACAATATAACACTACTTACAGAATCCTTCCTTCTCAAATTGTTACCTTATCTAATGTCAGAGAACCTTCCTCTGCTTCTGTTGGTCCTTCTGGCAGGAGAGGAGCAGAATCTGATACTAATTCTGAAGGTTGTTCTTCATACTCTTCTGAAAAGAGGAACCATAATTCGCCATTATGAGAGACATGAAAGAATTTATGTGAACCACCATGACATTACGATCTAGCCAAAAACAGATGTGAACTGAAACAGGTGAAAAATGTTTGAAGCCAAACATTGTATGAGAATTTATTAAATTTTTCCCGTAAACTTTTATTCATATTAGTAAGTTTAGATTTAAATGTGATTTATATATTGGTTATTATATAAAATAAAAGCATTCAAACATTTACCTAAGAACCAAGTCCATACTGATAGCAATGCGGCTGACACTTAATAAATGTATCATATGCATTTCTTTTGATTCAATAATAAGATGATTCGATCACCAACTGAAATAACACATCTACCAGAGATTTTTTTGCACAGCTGGACAACTGCCTCCAAAATTTTGTTTGGTTTTTTTTTTTTTAAGAACATATTTTTAAGGCCATCACTGCAGACTTTTCCTACAGACTTCTCTCTGGGTTATTTTGCAAGGAAGAAAGGCTGGAGAAAATCCACAGGATGTGCAAGGAGAGCACAAAGGGAAAGGGCAGTAGTAAATCTAACTTTAACTATCCTCAAGTGAGCACTGTGTTATGTCCAAGTCTTTTTTAGGAAAGAGGCTTAAATACTAGATTTCACTCAAAAGACAGAGGGAGGAACTAGAAAATGGGGGAAAACATCTTGAGAAATGTTGAGTTGAAGGATTTCTAAACACCAGCCTAACTGATAGTTTGATAGTTTAGGATGGCAAATGAATTTCTTGTACTATGCAACCACATGCTGTGTCCACAAGCTGAATACTAACAACTATCAACACACTGAGCATCTTTAGAGCAGTTGACTAAGTAGGATGCTTCCTATATTATTTGTTCAGATTCATTTAGGTTTGTCTGTATCAGTTTAGTCAAAACTGTTTTAATAACAAGTACCTGGTTGCAAGTTCAATGCTCAAATATGACATTTAACCATGACTGTTCTTTTAAAACTTCATACTGAAATCCACTTTTTTTGGGAACTGAACATTCTCCAGTATGGAAGGGTGAAAATTAAGAGGTTTTACAAAAGCTAGATCTAGGGAAGATTGCCTAAGAAAAAACTAAGATGTTTGTAGAATGCTTTGATGTGTCCTAAATCATTATCAAGGTAGGGCATGAACCAGGCTGCTATATGTAAGAAGAGACAAGGAATCAATCCAGTTGACAGATAATTAAGTCAGTACTGTATTAGCTGGAATGTTTAACCAAGAGCATACCTTCCTAAGTCAGGTATGTCAACTTGCTAAGTGGTTAGATATACAGTTTTTGCACCACAATAAGTCATCATTATGCCATGTGTGTACTACACGAATTCCTATCTTCAGAACAATAGCAGTACAGCACAGTAAAATCTTGGACCATCAGTTAAACCCACACCGGTATACCAGGAAGACAGCAGTAAACTTACTTTCACCAGCCACATAATTAGCTGGAAAATAGCCTTGCTGTCCATTTGCTAGGCTGCCAAACCACCAGTTATCATTATCTTTGTATAACACTTGGATAATGTCACTGCGATGGATGGTTAGCTCATCTGATCGATGCGCTGTGTAGTCATAAAGAGCCACTACCTAAAAGAGAGATAAGAGCACCACAGCTTTATCACAACCATGCCACAGAGAAAAAAGCGCAACATTCACTTCCTCTTGCAGAAAAGCAGCTGAAACCAAAGCTGCACTTTGGTAAAAGCTGAGGCTGCCTCAAGTTTTGCTAATGGGATCAGGGGTGGTGGGAAAGCAGCAGGAGAGGCAAGATAAAGGACTGTGGGATTGCAGAAATGGTTAAGAACATTCAATTCACTAAGATTAGCTTCAAAACAGCAGCTGTTAGTTTTATAAGCAATTTGCTTGTGAAGCAAAAGGAAAAAAAAAACTTCATACATTCAGTTTCTCAGAATTGTTACACCACCTTCAGATCCCATTCTCTGTGTGCTCATGAAGCATATGTGTTTGAATAAATACTTCAACAGTATGACAGTTTTATCGAAGGAAAAATTTAATACAAAAAGAGATTGCAAAGTTTTGCTTTGATCACTCAATTTTTTTTTCTTTCTTTTTTTCTTTGTTTTGCTTAAAAATAAGGGTTTGGATGTGCAACTTTAAAAATATCTTTTAAATATTTTAAAAATACATTTAAATTCCATTTCGCATAATAAATCCATTTGACATACAGTGCACCTATACTTTTATGAAAAGGAATACTAACAGTCATCAGCATCATGCATACTACATAAAATGCATTACCAGAAGCCTGCTTTCTACCCTGAATATGAAAATATCAAGTACAATTTCTTATTTATTTCCTATACCCTATGAACAAAAATCTGTCCTGGTGAACTCCAAGCAGAAAAGCTTGAAAAGAAAACAAATGAACCGAAACAATAAGGGAATTGCTCACTTTCCTCATCATAAGTGAGGAGCAAAATTATGACCTATTTTAGACACAGAATGCTGCTACCCTACCTATAATTTTCATCTCAGATTCCTCTACAAAATTGTAAGTAAAGAGGTCAAAGACAGGGATTGTTAGGAGCAATAGGAGGTTTAAGGGGATTTGAAGGAAAAAAACCCTTTTTATTACTCATGCATGCATTTAAATCTTAAGACTGCTGAACTGCACAATGCTTTTATATTTGTATTTCTACTTTGAGTAAGATCACCTGTGAGTTAGATGTGTAAAAATATAGACAATGTCACTTGTATTTTCAAAATTCCATGTCATCAATTAAACAGATTAAATCAGTTATAAATGGGAAAAGATGGAAATGATTCCATTGATTCCATGATACCATTTTAAATTTTATGTGGCAATTTTTGAGCTGGTCAGTATAAAAAATTAGTATCAGCATAGTTCTCACTAAACAGGAAATTTATCTAAATATGAATTCAAAAGTCCTGAACTTACATAAAGAAGTTAAACAATGAAATAACCCTTATCATAACTCTCCTCCCTGCATTAGGAAAGCTCATACAGTAATTACAGGTGGTGTTGACAATATAGAAATATGAACTGTAGCACAGAAGCAAACTAAACCACACTAATGAGCACCGTGATCATGTCCAGTAAGAGGTGCTCTAATAGTGCCCACTTCAGTTAAGTGACGACCTCATGAAAACCATGAGGTCACTTAAGGTAAAAAAAAAAAACGAACACCAAAAACCAACCCCAAAAAGGAACATAGGAACGTAACACTAATTACTTGGCAGCATGAAAAACAATGAAAGGTAGAGCTACAATTACTTCATTTTGCAGTGTCTTTTTTAAGATAGTTCTGGTGTAAATGTTACATTTTTTGGAAAATATTACAAAAATTCACTGCTACAAACAGTTCAAACCAATCAAGAAAGTCTCAATGTCTGTCTCTCAGAAATAAGAAATTAATAAACCAATGTGTCCTGTAATACAAATGGTTTAGTAGGCCTGACAATTTAAAAGAATGTGGAAATTGCCACTATATTCTCTGAAGACATGTGATCAGAAAAATGACCAAGATGGGATAGAGGAAATGCACCTCAGGACCAAAGAAGAATGTAAACCACTTACAATTATGCTTAAAGCATTGGACTTTCTTCTGGTTTGACATTCAAACATTTGTCAAGTTTTGCCTGTGTCCAAGTCCAAGTGAAAAATAAAAAATTCTATATTCAACAAAATTTTACAAGATTGTTTTTCAAGAGTGATATAAACCCAGCATTAATGTAGTTACGCCAGTTATGAACATCTTTGTAAGAATTACAAAATCTATGGGAGCAAAAAAAATCCTTGGGATTTCATGCTACAAAAAAGGGAACATGCTTTCAAAAGCACAGATACAGTATAACAGGTATAGAAAATACTGCAAAAAATTACATAATACTTACTGTCTCTTGCAGGAGTGGACAACTGCTTCCTCCTCCCACTCCCAGTGCTGTCAGGCTGTCATCATTCTAGAAGAATAAATTATGTTGAAACTTTAATATGAAGTATCTTGCTAAACTATGAGTATTTTCATGTCTACTATGATAAGAATTATCTGTAATATAATGTTCTTTTTAAAAAAGAAAAAGCAGAAGTGATGTTAAGCAACACTGAGTAATATTGGCTATTGGTTGGTAGATATTTAAGAAAGATATCAAGTTTTTCAAGTATGTAAACTGCACTAAAGACAACTGGACTGGTGACTATGCAGTCCCATCTTGTTTGCCTTGCAAATACAGCAGATATTTAAGAAGTTGTTGCAGTGAACTTTACCTCTGAACCAGTACGTAAAAGACGTCACTTCTATATAATGGAAATTTCAGGTTGGTCTTAATAACCAAAACTTTCCATTTAATTCTAGTTGTTCTATCTTTACCACTCACTCTTCAGACTTCCAACAAATTCAAAAGAATAGTAGATATATAATGTAATAATCAGGATATGCCTGTATCAAAAAAATTTATTTCTGTCAAACAATAAAACGCTTCAGTTGAAAGGAGATATATTATAGAAAAATTAAGAAAATTAGTAGAGTAACAACAAACTAGAAAAAAAAAGGAAGAGCTGGAAGTCCTTCGCTGGTATTAATTTTTTCCAGTGGTTGATCTTCACAAAGGAGAAGCCAGTTTCCCCTAGATTTTGTATGTGTCAAAGGATATACATTACAGTACAGAATAGAAATATTACAGAGCAATTAAGACATTTTAGAAGAGAAAAATCAAATGTGAGATTTGTGAAGTAAACATTTCTACCTCTAACAGATATACCACCTTATAAACACTTAAATTTGAAAACTTTTATCCAATATACTTCACCTTTTTCATATTTTACTGCCACTCCTTTAACTATCTTTTACATGAACTTCTTTCTCTTCTCTTGCTTTTTAAAAAAAATGTATCTAAAATATAGCGCTCCTTTTATTTTCAATAGGGTTTTTTATTTTTTATCAGCATGGTTCAAGGAATGTCATTACATATTACAAAGAAAATCATTGCAAATCCTCAGCAGAATAAATGGCATTCTCAAGAACAGAGATCCTTGCCCTCAATGTTGTCTTCATAACTTAGTTAGGCTTATCCTATATGGAAAATAAATCACTGACTATCCTGAGGTTCCATCCAGTCTCCAGATTGTTTCAGAGCTGCCACAGTAGTTACAGACACATACAGTATATACAGATGAACACACTGTAAAAGTGAACAGTTGTACTCAATTCTCATCATCTACCAGAACATCTAAACCTACCACCTAAAGAGTTCTGAGTAATTATGTACATGCACAGAAGGAAGAAAAAAAGTGTAACTGCCTGATTTGATAAACAAATTTTGAACAAGGACTGGTGGAGCTGCAGTTCAGAGTATGTGGCTTGTTCAGTGGTCTACTGGTAGTTAGCACTGCTGTACAGGTTTCAGCTAATTCTCATTTTCCATTCTCAAGGTTAAGAGAACTGTACAGGCAGTGTGCTTAGCCTGTGGGATGGGAGTGCCTCCTGTTGCTCAAAAATGATTCATCAGAATTATTAGCAGTATTATTTAGATATCTAGTTCAGGTATTCATATTGCCCCATTATTGTGTCTCAATCTGTCTCTCTCTCTTTCTCTCTTTTTAATAAAGTATTTATGTGGCTCTCAAACACTCAACTCGAGAAGAGCTTGAAGAGAGTGAGTTGTTTGGAAATAACAAGCTAAAATCCATGAGTCACCCTGCGATGACGTTGAATATTCTCAGACACTGCCTTAAACTTTTAAGCAACAACAATCCATAGAGGTGCCTCTTAAAGAGATAGATACTCTGAGTATGTCACTGGCTACACACAGCTCTACCTCTACCTGGCAATTGCCACAGCTGTGATTCAAAGAAATCAAACTCAATTATCATTATATGACCCCTTTTCAGCTGCCTACCACAAATGTAGCTACTGCAAGGCAGAAAAGCTGCCTCTTCCATGCCATGCCATTCCTCAAATAGTGCCAACTACTAGTTACACTGCAAGAAACATCCAACTAAAACTACTGGCCTTTCAGCTTAGAAACATAATTTTTTACATGTTGTGTCACAAGACTAAGGCACATTTTCAGGATTCCAAAAAAGCAACAGACATACTGTAATGTATGAATACATAATTCTTAACGCAATATTAATGTCTCCTTTTTTTCATGCAGGATGGAAACTAGATAATCCTTTTTTTTACATTGGAACAGATGTGGGGCTATAGCCATCTTCCAAGGAGTTGGTCTTTTTGGGAGGCAGACATCTGTGAGAAACAGAAACGAAATCCTTGCTGAAAAAGTCTGCCGTGTCACACTGATTTTGGTTGAACAAAGCTGTTAGGAGCTTTCAGCATTAAAGGAACATCCTCAGAGGAAGATAAATAGATCCAGTCATTCATGCAGAGTTCTAGACCACGGAGTATCACACTGGTTATCCATGACTAACCCACGTAGATACCCTTGAAATTTCTAACTCAAAACCAAACAAAAATGTTTCAAGACACTAATAAAAAAGAACGTTGCACCTAAGAGTAAACCAATAGATACACTGTTGTATCAAGTGTTATCAATTCCTGATAATACGCTAATTAAAATGTTTATGGCTTCTTTTTAATTGGGCAGTTTCAGTGATTGTGCTAATGGAGGTTTTGCTTTTTTGATGCAGATGTATAGCAGCTGACAGGATTTGGGCATTAGATATCTCTCATCCTCTTAGGAGAAGGAGCACTGAGTAAGAACAAGTGATCAGTTGTTACTGTCTTTTCAGTAAAAGTCTCAGCATTTCATTTGTCCTACTGAACCAATATATTTCAATTACCACATTATCAAAGTTTAAAGAAAAATACGAAAAAATGTAAAGTCTAATGATGTTTCCATGTTTTTACCTTATAGGTAAACATATTCTTCATTGTAAAAGAATAAACATATAGATTAAGTCCCACTTCTAAGAGTTAGTCATTACCTCTTAATAACAACACTTGAAAAATAAACTTTTCTAAGACTAATTTTAGGCAACACTACACATACCAATGGGAACCCTAACGTGTATGCATACAGGGCCAAAGCCACCCTCTCTCCTTTTCCCATTAGTGACAGACTCAGTGACATGAAGAAGGACAAACAACTATTTCCTGAATGCTGCACAGCACCACTACTTCTCTCCACTCCACCTCCCTATACCTGCCATCTGCCAGAACGGAAGAGAAACTGGGAATATTACTTATACAAACAGTCCAGTAAACACACAAGGAATGTGTGTTACAGCTTCTCTTGCCTATCCAGTAAATTTGTGCCTCAGTGTGTAATAGTCCAGGTTCTAAGACTGTTACCTTTTCAGGGCTTTTTGTTGCTGCTTTTGGTTTATGGTGGCTTCTTGATTTGTTTTTTTTTTTTTTTTAAAGAAGACAAAATGAGAAATTAACTTATACAGCTTGATTGAAAACTCTTGGTTAGCTTAAAAGATAATATTTAAAACATTTAAAAATCTTACAGAATAGACCTGAGATTTTACTGTTGCTACATTGTCTTCCTTTTTTCTTATGAAGGGTTGGAAATTCAAAGAGTTAGAATTTTACTTAATTGTCTCCTCTCCTAAAAATGTCATGCAATCTCTTTACTGCAGTAATTGAAGTTTTAAATAAAATGCTAAATAACCTGAGACTTAGAAGAAAACAGACGAATACTGTCAGCACTATCATATTTCTGTTCTTGTTCTCTGGTCCAATGCATTCTTTTTCCCATTAGTGACACCTAACTACAAATTTAGTCTGTGGGAAACAGAAGTACAAGTATTTGTATTAATAGGTAAATTAAAATTTTTCCAAAAGTATCAATTGCTAAGAATTATATACTCTTCTTCGGTTGTAATTAATCTGTCCATAGAAACTTTAAAGTTACTTCCTTACGCTTCAGATGACTACAATCCTGATTTGATCACAGCTTTTTAATATTTAATAATCATGGGAATGTATAATTTGCCTTGAGGAAAAAAGAACCTGCAGCAGACTGCACTTTATTGAAACCTGCAACATACAAACAGAAATAAGAAATGCAAACACAGCTGCTACAGTAAAGCCTAAAAGAAAAAAGATAAAAAAAGAAAAAAGGAAAAGGAAGAAAAGATCAGTTCAGAAACATGTGAAATACTCCAGCTCCTGAAATTATTTAAAACCTCTTCAACTATTTTACCATTTCTAAATATGCTACGTTTTTGGTATTAATTACTTGGTTAACCTGCACTTACATACATATTACTGCATTTATAATAGGAGAAACAACAAATATATTCAATATTCAATGTTCAAATATAACCCTTAATTTAGCCCCCTCAGAAAAAAGTATTTTAAATTAGCTGCTATTTAGCATCTTACAAAAGAGCTGATCCTGTAAATGTTTATCAAGCTTGCTGTGGTGGAGAGCACTAATGTACTGGTTGAACAATTTATACTTTTCCCTAAAAAATATATATTGATGGCAAAAAATTTAAAGTGTGAAAACAAGAACCATTTAACCACTAACAAAACAGCAACGTAAACCCACACTTTCAAATTCCTTGGTGAATCCTACTTAGTTTACAAGCCTTCCACAACTGTATTAACAGATTCTATTAAATAAGGTAGGATCAAAAAAATCCTAAACCACTCCACACCAAAACCCCAAATCCAAATTGTAAAACAGGTATAAATGATCAAAGTTAAATTGCGTCCATTTATAATATTTCTCTCAAAAATTACAAGTAGAGCAATTACAACAGAATAATAAACCATGGCATTCTGTTCATGAGTGCAGGAGGATTAACATCTCTAGTACAAGAGGCTCAGCTTCATAGAGATACAAATGCATTCAGTATTCAGAAGCACCACTTGTTCTTCTGTCACTAGTTCCTCCATACATTTTGTGTTTAATACAAGTTTATCAAATGTAAAGTTGGAATTAATGGTATTTACAGATTCGGTTGGATTTTTATTATGGTGATCAGGAAACCAGAAATAAACAAAGAAACAAATATAATCAGTAGAAGTTTACAATCAATATTTAATAGATAAGCAGTTAAAAAAGCAAGAGAATATCTGTGATTTCACTTGTTACAAAAAGATGAAGTATGAAACAGTAAACAACGAAAACATCATGCTACAAATAGAATTTCATTCCCAGTAACTGTCTCAGCTTTCTTTTGCTGTTTATGAATGCCTTCTTTCTCAGTAATAATAAAAAACTCGAGCGTGATTTTAGCTTATTTATTTCTACACAACAAAAAGTAAATAATGAAAAAAATATAAAGCTTTTGATTTTCAGATATCTGATCTTCCTACCAGCTGGCTGCAGCATAAGCTAATTTGCCTATGTAGACAACTGGCTTGAAGATACCTCTTTTTTTGATAAAGACAGGATAAAAAAACCACCTCTCTACAATGAGAACTTGTGAATAATGACATTTTATAGTTAAACATCAATTTAAAAAAAAATGCAAAAAGAGAATTCCATACCATCTGTAGTCTACCCAATAGTGTTCGGCTAAGAGGATTTCCTACTGGGCTGAAACACCCTGTGAAAAGAAAAGGCTGTGAATTTTCTGCTTGTTATCCTTTTCCATCGAATAAACCATTTTATTTTAAAATCATTATGTTAGCAGGATATGTTTGACAAAATTCTAATGAAAAGCAGCAGCATCTTTCAGTCACAACTATGCAACCTTCAGTCAGGAACAGTTGGAGGATTTATTTAACTAACAGACCTGACACAAGGTTAACTAATCCAATATTTCCATTCAAATGATTTGGAGAAGTAGCTCAAGCTATGTCCACATGCCATCTCATGCTCAAAGCTGACACTATTATCTAGGCTGTATTGCTTTCCTCTTCATTGAATTTCTGAGTAATGCATACAAAGTTTTCCAACAGAAATGATCACAAAAACTCACAAAGGAATTACTTCCTTATTTTATCTGAAAGAATAACTATGTCTATTCAGTAGTTCCTTTTGATCATCTGAGTTCCTATCACAACACATCTTGCTGTTTATTTTATTCACTCTCTACAAAGCACACTTGAACAAGTACTTGTAAATTCTTTTCAAACTATTATGTTAACTACTAAGCTCAAGAAAATCCTTTCATCATCTATGGATTTATCTTTTTGTTATTGGTCTCCTCAGCTGTATACTTAAGAAAACATCTTAAAAAGAAAAGATACAAAAAAATTTGAAAATCGTTGAACATGACAGCGAAATGTGCTACTGCTTCACTGGAGAACCGTTTCTCCAGCACAGAAATGCCAGGCAACACAGAGTTAAGCTCACTGGATTTTCTCTGTGAGATACTAGCTTTCAAACAAGTTTTGTTTTCAAAGAGGAATAAATTCTGAAAACTCATTTTCATTTGCCACACCAAAAGCCTGCTGTCCAGTATCTGAATAAAGAGTACTTTTCAGATTCAGATTCCCATGCACTGGCACAGCTCCACAAGGAAGCCTGCACAGCTTCACCTACAGTATCCTTTCCAAAGCCTAGCGGTTTTGACTTTCATAGGAGATTTACTCATAAATGCTTAATCATTAAGATATTCATATATTTCTAGCTAGAATAAAAGCTGTAAAATCAAATAGTCATAGTTAAACCATGCTCCTGCAGATCTTCTGCATATGACTAATTTTGTACTTGTGAAAAATCCTAAACATGTGCAGTAATACATTATTCAACTTTGTGTATGAATTAAAAGATTTCTGATCTTAATAACTTTAAAAAAGCTTGTATAAATTCTGAAATACTTCATTTTGAAAGGTTTTGCTTCTTATTACTTTACCCCATCTCTTTTAAGAAGAAGAAAGAGAAGAGAATAGAAACCATTTTCTGAATTTAACCCATGCTCAAGATGGTAGACCTGAAGCTAACCTTTTTTCAAACAAGTTATTTGCTAAAACATTTGTTCAGCACTAACACCAAAAGTCACCGGGGATATTACTTCTACTGATATTATTATCTAAGTACTCATACAAACCCAGATGCTACAGAGGTGATACTACATATTGGATATACTGTTGCATACAAGTGTCACATCAACTCTTTGAATAAAAAACCCCAAACTCAGAACCAATAAAATGTCTGCATGATAAAAAATAAATTTTTCTTTAGACAGCTAAGTGTTCTACCATAGGATAATGAATTTGAGCATTGCAGTGTTGTGCCAATTCACACAAGCGCATACCAAGATACAAGATATATAAAATATTTGATAAAAAAAATTGTTTGTTTGGAAAAGTCAAGTTTTAATTAAAAATAAAATTAATCTGTATTTTTATCAGTAATATAACTGACTTTCTTGTTTTCCTAAGGAAAATACGCATTACCTCCGGACTGTATGTTTATGCACGTGAGTACTCTTGTGTAGTCTGTCTATTTAGCTGCTTGTCAAGTGAAAACTTTATGGTTAGACTGATATTCCCAATTAAGATTCAATAAAGAGCAGTGCAGACCCGTTACGCTGCAAGCATAGGATAGAGACAGATGTGTAACTCAAAGATACAGGCAGTGTGCTGTACTGAATTCTAGAAGCTGGCACTGGTTTATACAGCATTTTCCATGACTAGAGCCAAAACAAACAGAAAATTCTCACTACTTTGCTTGAGATGTAAACAGACCACAGCACACTTGGATCCAAATACTCTATGATCACGGCTATTAGTTACCCTAAACTAGTTTTTAGCATTATCCATTAGTTGTTTTCAGTTATTAAGTATTCCTTTAGTAGCCCCTACATTCAGAACAATCACATTAACAAACCTCAAGTAAATAAAACAAAACCAACAAAAAAAAACCTGCCCAAAGCTTCATCATTCCCAAAACAAGGCCCGTTCAGCAAGCAAGGGAATATCCATCCCTTCTTTCTCAAATGATGCAGAACAATTTTAAAGCAATGTTATACAGCTACTGGCTTGATATGGTTCCATGCTTGATGAAGCATGTAAATGACATCAAGCAGGTGTGACTAATAGCCTCTGCAGTGCTTTCTTTGGTTATCTCTGATCCAGGCTGCACACTTTTTGACTAGTATAGTGAGGTACTGAAACTGAGGTCAGGATTGCAGAACGACATTTCCACTTAATTTGAAAATGAAGTTTACAGGACACCATGACCTGTTGGGACTCTCACTTAGTCTGAGTTAATAGAAAGGTCATTAAATGCCTTGTACGGCTGAGCCTGAAAAAACTCCCAACACTGCCAGGTTAATCTAGATTGTCCTATCTTAAGGATGCTTCATAATCAGTAATGGAAAAGCATTTTTATTGATAGAGAGGGTTTATTTGAACTCTTCAATAATCTTCTTTCTTAACAGCATCATCTGCCTTCACCTTCAAAATCATGTACATTTTGAGAAGCTAATTTTCCCTATTAAAGTATCAACATTTGAATTACTGCATTTCTTATTACTCTACATTGATTCTTCAGTGGTTTCCTTTCTATGAAATTTTACATGAGAAGAACAGATTATTTCTAGAAAAACTTACTGCTAATGTCTAAATGAAACATTAGATGTCTCAAAATGATAGATGCTAATGCTTTTTCTCAAATGACCAAAATTTTCATATCAACACAATTTAACAGCAAGACAGCTCCTCTTTAGGGTCCACATAATCCTACTGTTAAAATTATCTTGTGAGTCCAAGCATGTGCTGGTTTTTGGGAAATGACTACCAAAGTACCAGTATCTTTTGAAAAATAATGTAGCTGTCTGCCTTGAGAGGAGTCTGAAACCGTGTTAGTTTCCTGCATAATTTGAACAGTGAACTGAAAAGTCTATCCTCAGTTCCTCTCAGGTCACTTCGGGCAATATATTCTCTGCCAGTAAAACAGCAACTAAAGAAAAAGGAAGACAGAAACCAAGTAGTTGTCCTGTCAAAAGCACACCTGTACTACTAAGTTCCCAGTTTTACGGCATGCTTTCACTGAAAAACTACCCTCTGCTCTAGACAAGCACATTAGCATGAAGTCATCAAATTCTAAATAGTTGGACTGAAATGCACAAAGTAGATGAGTTGGTATGATAACAGCAACGGTGCCCCCCAAAGTAGTACTTGTAATTACTAAGAAAACTTCCCTTTAAATAACAGGATCTTTAGCTATTTTATTTATTTTAAATTAATAGCATAAGAGCCAGAATAGGGAAAAAAATTCCTTCTAGGAAGTCACATAAATCCACTATTATCCTACTGGATTGTCCACAACCACGCAATGTTAAATGTTTATGTGAAAAAATGCTCTTTCAAGAGAGGCTGAAAGAACATTCATTACAGAATTCATGTTTTAATTAACTTTTCAAAAGAAGGTTTTTTTCTCGCTTTTTGAAATGTTCTTGATAAATTAATTTTTTAATTACTAAAGGTATTTTAGCATCATAAATCTCTAAGGATTCCAGTCACATGGAATCTACAGTTAATGAAATCATCCAAAATTTCATCCTGAAAAATTCTCATAAAATCACAGAACATCAAAGTAAAAAGACATATCTAATGAAACTGAAAAAAGCTAATATTCAGACATTTCTGTGATGAACGACTGTAAAGCATGTAGAGAGAAAAAAAAAATCTTACCCACTAATTCCACATTATTCTGTTTTTAATTGAGTTTTACTTTAAGTTTATACTAATTGCTAATGTCTAAAAACCCACAAACAAGTCCTGAAAGACAGGAAAACAGTGCCTCTAGGAAAAGGTATTTCTTATTGCAGACATTATATTGTGGCCTCTTGCAACATAATACAGCCAAGTAAACAACAAAAAGTGGGGAAAAAGTCAACTCAGATATGAGATAAATTTGTGTATATCAGCTCAGTCCTTTTCCTACTCATCTTCTGTGGCTTTAAAACTATTTTTCAGCAAACAGAATTATTTTCAGCACAGCCACTAATTCAGAAGTATGACCTTTGTGACCAAAGGGTCTTTTAGTATGCAGTATAATCTCTACTTTAGCTTTCAAAGGTTTTAAAGGAAGTTCCAAGGTGGGTTTTCTTGTTGGTTTTTTTTTTGGTTTAGTTTTTTTGTTTGTTTTTTTAAGTAAAAGTTTTCAGCATTTTTATTATTCAAGCCAGGTATAATATAAGAGAAATATGATAATTTTGTAATGTTCTAAATATATGTTAATCTTCCTTCAAAGGCTTAATTCTCAAACCAATTATGCTTTAATAGATCAAACAGAATTAATTAAATAAAAAGATTGTTTATATATTGGATAAGAAGCTATTTTCCTTTTTTTAAACACAGGATCACAAATACTTAAGAAACCCACCACAAACATTTTCAGATGCAGTTCACATAAAATGAAAGGAATGGATGCATCCACTTAACAAGAACACCTTTTGTTTTACCAGCTAAATAGATGTTTTGCAAATATCCCTTGCTGCAGGTGAAAACCCACTTCCAATTCTGCTCTTCATAACTTAGTCTAGCACCTATGATTTTGAAGATATTCTACACTGAACAGGAGAATCGACAGGATCAAAGTACATTGAAAACTGTATCATAGCTTTTAAAACTACTTTAGATGCATTTGGCT